AAAGTGGAGATGACTTGGATGGGAAACGAATCACAATAGTGTGCATTGCACTGGCAATGCACACAAATAATCTTACACATTCTGAAAACAAGATGATTATTCTTACACAATCAGTTCTTGTTTAGTGAATCAGTCTCAAAACAAGATCAAAAAGACTTTTTTTGGCTGATATAAGATTTTAAAACTTGGTTAGGTGGACATTTTTTGCAGCTGACAGTAGGCTAACGCTACTAATGCTAAAATGCTACACAGATTAAAAACTAGAAGCAGCTAACATTAAAACATGCTTTAACTCAGAAATAGTTTGACACAAGTCTATAAATCTTTATTGTCCCTTCCTCTGTCAGCTTCCTGGTCATTCTGTACTGCCTGAGCTGTGCCAGCAGCTGGTCCTGGTCCTCCCTGTCTCTGTCTGTGGACCCAGAAGACTTCCTGGTCTCAGTCGGTGTCATCATCTTCTCCTACACCTCGCAGATCTTCCTCCCTCCGTTAGAGGGCAGCATGGAGGACCGAGGGCAGTTTGAAACCATGCTGGGGTGGACCCACGGAGCCGCCTGCCTCATGAAAACAATGTTTTCATTACTGGTTAGTGGATGAAACATCTTCAAACATCTCAAACTTTTATTAACATCTGGCATCTGTAACGCCGTTCTTCCAGGCTGTGCTGACCTGGGGGGCAGAGACACATGAGGTCATCACTGACAATCTTCCCGTTGACCTTCGGCCCATCATCAACCTGTGTCTGCTGGCCAAAGCCCTGCTGTCCTACCCGCTGCCCTTTTACTCTGCCGCTGAAATCCTGCAAACCTGTTTGCTTCAAGGTGAAAACAAACCAAACGGAATCTTAAAGTTTAATTTGTTCACATTTTATACTCAGATAAGACGTGAAGATCTTTAAGAATGAAAAAAAAAAGTCAAGTTGCTTTTGATTTGGCTTGCTATACTGATTGGGTCAATTAAATCTTACACTAAAATCCACATTTTACCATCATTGAAAAGTTGTTTCTTCTCTGTGGAGAAGGTGAAGGCTGAAAAAGCTGAATTCTGGCTTGTGGAATGACCAATCAAACCCAGTCTGCTGGTTAAAAAAAAGAGTAAAGGAAATTAGGTCACTGTGTTTTTATTAAGCCGTCAACGTTACTTGGGCTCGAGAGGATAAATAGAAACTTGTAGGTTTCAGGTAATAATGCTCACTTTAGAGATGGGAGGAATGGCTCTTTGAAGGGATTCAGATCTTGATGAGCCTTTGCTCCCATTTTACCCAATCATGTCATCATTGTGCATTGCCAATGCAATGCACACTATTGTGATTCATTTCCCATCTAAGTCATCTCCACTTTGGCACGCTTCTCCTCCTGCATACTTTGTCCTAGAGCAGCCATTGTAATTTTTATCTGTAAAGCTCCTGTGCCAAATGATGGCTATGCCTTTTGGTACCTGTACAACTTATAGTTTTTGAAATATTAATGTTTCATATTTTACAGTGGGAGTTAATGGAGCCTTGTATTGGTCCAAAACTGCCCCCTGCTGTACCTACTCAGTACTGCACCATAGTTTAATAATATTTAAACTCAGTAGTTCAGTGTTTACAATACTAATATGTTAGTATTTTGATGTTTTACTATAATATTGTCCTAATATTGCTTTATTGTTATAATATATTGCAGTTTAGTGTCAACAACTGCATTGGCGATGTGGCCTCTTTCTGCACACATACAAGCCAACCCCTGGCAATCCACTCTGCCACAGCTCCAATGGTCTCATGGTTAATGCCAAGGGCTTTCATGTGGGAGATCAGGGTTCAAAACCCAGCTACAGCAACTTCAACAAAAAAATCTCTTCAAACTTCGTATTGTCACACAATTATACTCATTACAAACACCTGCTGACTTGACAAGCACAAGCTGGTATAGAAAACACATTTGAAATTGGTCACATTTTATTCTGCAAGTGCACTGCTGCAGGCAAAGACATGCTACATGGCAATGCACACTTGTTTTTACATCGTAAAAACCCATGTCTAGTTTCACCTGTTTCCAATTAACCTGCTCACCTGTGGAATGCTCCAAACAGGTGTTTAAGCCTTCCTCAACTATACTGTGTTTTGCTGTTGCTGTCCCAGCTTTTTTTTTTTTTTTTTTTTTTACTTAGGAACATATTGCAGGCATCAAAAACAAAATGAGTGAATATTTACAAAAAACAATAAATTGTATCCATTTGAACAATGAATATCTTATATTTGTAGTGTATTCAACTGACTATATTGGATTTATGTTTACAAGAGCGTTAGTGTGTAGCCTACTAACTGAAGTGCAAAAAAGTAACGACAAATAACGAAAAGTTTCAAAGAACAAAATGAAAAACAACTTTTGAGTATTTCTTAAAGGGATCCCCAATTAGTTGTAACATCAGACTTTATTTAATAAACATATATGTTAACTGTAAAATAAAGACTGTAGAAATACTGTAGGATGTTTCGTTTTTATAGTTTTTAAACTAAAAGTTTAAAAATGTATTACACAGACCGAGACATTTTATTTCCACACAAAGCATTCTGGGTAAATGATGACGTGGATAGGTCCTCGGTGCGAGGCTGCTAGCGAGCTATATCCACCCTGAAGGTTAATCTTGGACAATATCTGATGATGGACTCTTTTAAATGAAACTCAGCCTGATTCATATCAGGAGTGTGAATGGAGTGTGGTGTCTATATTGTATGTCTTTGAATGAGTGGGTGCGAGGATGAGGGTGGGATTGTATGATTGTGTTTGTGTTTGCATGTGTCAGGCTGGGACATGGACTTCCCCTCCCCTGGTTCGTTTGTCGTCCTCATCCCATACCGCCCTCTGGTGGCTGCCTGTCGGGGCTTGGGTCCTCTGGCCCTGTCGGCTCTCGGCTTGGGGGTGGGGGGCACCCTGGGGGCCGGACCCTTTGTGCCTATGCCCGTGCTTGCCCTAGTGCAGCGGGGGCCTGCGTGCTCGTCGCTGCGGGCCGCTGTGGGGCTGCTGCGTGTGGTCACTGGTGGGGTTCTCCTATGGTTTGACCTGGGGTGGGTGTGCTGCTCTCCTCAGGTAGGTGTACCCGGGGGCCCGGTGCTTGGGGTTCCTCCTGGGG